TTTGAGCCCCTTTTTGATGCCTCCAAGTGGTAAATTCTACACCATAAATCTTTGCTTCATGCACAGAATCATTAAATATATTGTATAAATAAGTCACTGTCAGGCTATGTGTAGAAAGGTGTGTATGAAATGGCTGGGTCCCACGCTGGTAAGGTTTGGATTCTGAGTGTCTCCACGAGTCAGTGAGTTAAAGACATGGTCACCAGTGAGGCACTGTTAGGAGGGGCTATGGATGTTTAGGAGATAGGGCCTTATGGGAGTTCCGGAAGTCATGGGGCATCCCTTGAAGGGGATCGTGTGGCCCTCCCTCTTCCCCTCTGCTTCCTGCCTCATGAGGTGAGCAGCTGGCTCCTCCACACACTTCGACCATGAAGTGTTCCCTTGCCAGAGGCTGAAAGCCATGAGGCTGCTCCTTCTTGGACTGGAAACTCCGAAACCGTAAGCCAAAATAAAACTTTTCTCTTTATAAGTTAACTGCATTGGGTATTTGGTTATAATGATGGAAAGCTGGCATATCCCCAAGATATCTTAGTATATATGTTTCAAAGTCTGAAAAACTCCAAAATCCAAAACACATGTGGTCCCATGTATTTCAGATAAGAGATGTTCTAGTTATGTTACCTTCTTAGCCTCAATATATATTTGAGTTTGTGACTTCTGGAATGGAGATTTATTTTTATGAACATGGAATTGCAATAGCTGTCAGTGACTTGGAGATCTGTATTAGCCCATAGTGCAGACCTGGGGAGCGTCTGAGACTTGTAGAATCAGAGTCCGTGTTTTGGCAAAATCTCCAGGTGAATCCAGGTGCTTTGGTCTACACCACCTGCTTTCTTCCTCTGCACTTCACTATGATTGTAATTCAGCACTCATTTATATGTGATGATGTGTTTGCCCCTGTCTCCCCCAGCAGACAAACAGGAGGCTTCACCAGGGCAGGGACTCTGGCTGCCTCACTGTTGTAACCCAGTCCCCAGAACATGCCTGGCCTAGGTGGGCAGCAAACAGAAAAGCTCATCCCAGAGGTTCAGCCATCTGCTTAGCTAATCCTTCTGCCCTTGCTCATACGGTGCTAGGGAAGAAGAGGAGACTTAAATTCAGAAGTAAGTAGAGGAGCCTCTTTGCCTGTACCCACTTAAGAGCTAGCTGCCCCATTTTTTGTGGCAGCCAGATTCCCCATGACGTGATGGGGAAGTGAAAATAAACAGACTTGACCCTGCTGGATGATGGCACTGGGGCTATGTTCAGCCTTGGCAAAGTGGCTCTATATTGTATTCCTCTGTAGACCTCAGCCTCATGGCTTACATGTAGTGTGAGTCCATTGTGACAAGATCAGTGGCATTGACAAGGTTCATGTCCACCCACCAGTGTCAAAGGGCACCAAGCATCGTGTCTCCATGCTTGGGGCTCCCTGAAGAATGGCCTCAAGGGCTCATCATCTCTGTCTCTTGTGCTGATGGTCCGTGTTGAAGATGGGGCTCCAGATTGCAGGTATTGCTTATCTGCCCTACCCCAGGCCAGGGTCCCATGGAGGGACTCATCAGCATCACCTCCCTGCCCTCTGACACACTTGTGCAGTGGTTATGGTGCATCCAGAGCACCATCCCTGTGCAGTGGTGCTGCCAAGGCTGTAACAAGGTCATTGCCAAGCTGAATAGGATACATGGCCTCCTGTATCTCTACCTCATGCGTCTGTCCAGGCTGTGACCTGCAGTCTGGAAAAACCTATTGAATCCTATGACCATAAAACCATAAGAAAGGGGTGCAGTGGGCACCTGGACAGTCACTGAAAGGCATCCTCGGCTTCACTGAGGACTAGGCTGTCCACCATGACTATAGTGGTGATTTGCAATCTCTACCTGCTGTACTGAAGCCAGCACTGTCTGCAGTGACCACTTCATCAAGCCCACTTTCTGGTAGATTTTTGGCTATGACAAATGACCTGAGCCATTGGTGCTCAGGACCTCCAAGGACAGCAAAGCCCTGGACAACAAAGCTCAGGGGAAAAGAGAGGCTCTTGGCTCCACATCTGTACAGCCCCAGTGCCAGCTCTGGGCCCAGCACCTAGAACCCCGGCCTTGACAAAGTCTCACCCCAGGCCCCTGAGGAGGAAAGGACCTAGTGAGCTCCCTGAGCACATCTCTCAGGGTCATCAGTGGAGTCTCCAGCATCCTAACCAGGGGAAAGGAAAGGAGAGAGGGAAAGAAGGAGAAAGGAGGCTGTTCCATGTATAACACACACATTTTCCAGCTTCTCAAGTCCCCCAGCTGTCTTGGGATGAAAAAGTTAAATGTGATACAGTAGAAAACAGGCAAAAGTCTGTTTTTCAAAAATCATGCAGTCTGCAAAAGGGAAACCGCTGCATGCTCAAGAATGAATGCCTGTTCCACCCTGCGGGCTTCCTGGCCGGGATGGGAAGGGGTGTGTGTGATGGGAGTGCTGAGCGATGGGGAGGGAGGCAGGTGAGGAAGGGAGGCCAGGTGAGGCAGACATGCAAACGCACCGCCGGGGAGACAAAGAGAAGGTGCTTGCCACTTACAGAATGCTGAGTTAATGTGACCCCATAGGAATGTTTTCCCGTAGATTCAGATTTTTGTGAATATTTACATATTTATTAAAGAAAAACATTCCAAATGTTTAATTCAGTAATTCATGTATTGCCAAACACACATGTCGCAAGCTTTCACCAATAATGAGACTTCGGTGCTTCAGAATGAGGCAGTTGCTTCTCTGGCCCTAAGGGAGCAAAAGAAAGGGATGATGGGATCCTGCCTGGGGCTGTCTTCGACATTAGCCCACAGCTATTCTAATCTTCCTCAGTCTTTCATTGTGATATGTAAAAAATGGGTGTTCAGAAAATAATGGAAACAAAGTCTTTGCAAACAGGGAGGGGCGGAGGGGCTGAAGGGAGGGCAGGGGAAGGGGGGGAAAATAAGAACCAGGAGAGATCATGTAAAGGTGCAAATTCCCAATGATGAATGTCATTATATTGTGTACCTAAAATGTACCAATAAAATTAATTTCAAAAAAAGAAATAGGTGTTCACAGCATCCCTCGACAATACACCCACAGCTCATTCTCATATCTATAACTGAAACAAAGGTTGCACACAGTGTTTTGTTACTATTGACAGTACGTGCTGATATTTCATAAGATAAAACAGATAATTCTTGGCGGGGGGGGGGGGGGCATGTCCTTAATCCTGGCATTCTGGGAGGCTGAGGCAGGAGGATCACAAATCTGAGCCCAGCCTGGGCAACTTAGTGATTCAGTGAGACCCTGTCTCAAAATTAAAAATAAAAAACGGGCCAAAGGTATAGTTCAGTGTGAAACCCCTCGGCTCCATCTCCAGTACACCTCCCTTAAAAAAAAGACGATTCTCTGCTTTTGACCTGTAGTTGTAACTCCATAAATGAATTTTTAGACCACCTTCACCTCCACCATCCATTGAGTGGTTCAGGACTCCACAGAATTTGACTCAGCTGGGGGACAGGTAAAAATATAGGTATGGACTCTGGACTCACACAGCCCTGGGGTTCGAGTCCTGGCTCCCTTGCTGTTGGACTTGACTAAGGTGCCCAGCCTTTAGAGCCCAGCTTCTCCATCTGCTGCCCGCCTTGTGACCCCCTCGTGAGGACTGAATGAGGTCACACCTCTAAGTCACTAACCCAGGGCCTGGCACATAGTCAGCTCCGGGCTGGGGGCGGGGGGCTCACTGCTGTTATGACCATGACTGTCCTTGTCCACCCTTTGTTGTGGTTGAGACAGATCCAGTGCTGAACCACCTGGGTTCAGGTCACACATCTGCCCCTTACGACCTGTGTGGCCCTGGGTGAGTTACTTGAACTCTGGGGCTCCTGCTTCCTCTGAGGACATGAATAGAGTGGTTATGGGGATGAAAAGAATTAATCCACATGAAGTATTTAGAGGGGAGCTTGGCACACAACAAGCACCAGGTAAATAATGGAAACCATCATCATCATCACCATCATCACCATGTGTCTTGTTTAATCCTCACGAATGCTTGTGAGATCAGGATTTTCACCACCTTTGCTCAGAGAACACTGAGGCCTGAGATCTAGGCAGCCTGCAAAATCTTAGAGCTGGGAAGGGAGGAGCTGGAAAGGAAAGGCAGCCAACTGAGTCTCCACTCAGGCTGGGAGAGGCACAGCACTAGGGGGTCGGGGAGTGAGAGCTGGCAGGCAGGTGTGCACACTGTACCTGTCAGTGGGCACAGCATCTGGATTTGTCCAGACTCTACAGTGAGGACATAGAGTTGGTTATTTGAAGAAGATGGAGCACAGAAGTATTCCCCAGTGAACTGGACACTGTTAAATCAGCCTCTGCTTGTTCCTCTCACTTCTCACCACCCCCTGCATCTTGTCTCCCACACTGGTTGGACCCCTCAGGAGCCCAGGCCTCATCCTCCACCCTAGGTGGAGCCCAGGAGATGACCCGACATGTGCTTTCCCTTGAAGGGCTGGAGCCAGCCCCACCTGAAGTCCATGAACTGGCAGAGGGGAGGGAGGAGCAGGAAAGAGACATCATTGGAACAGCAGAAGTGGATGGTGAATGTGCAGAGCCATTCTGGCGCTGGTTTGGGGACAGAGAAGGCAGTGGTTCTATCCAGGAGTGGATGTGGCACTTGCTTGGGCCAGGCCCTGGCTGTGCTGCTATGTAGTCTGTGATCTGGCTTGAGCACATCCTTTGTGTCTCTTTGGCCTCAGTTTCTCCATCCGGCAATGCATAGGGGCATGGATTCTGTTCTGATCTTTGAAGTGCTACAGATTCTTAATATGCCGCCCTTCATTGAGTTCCCAGAGTTTAAGGGCACCCAGAAAGAGTTCTGACCCAGGTAAACTTCTGTGTGGAGAAAGCCCCTGGAGCAGCTCTCTGAGGCCCTCCCCACTTAAGCTGCTGTCTGAAGTTACAGTTTCTGCAGAACACTGCCTCACTGGCTAAGCTCTTCACGTTTTCCCTTTGTTCCCCCTCCCCTGCAGGTGTCACCAGATCGGTTCCTCTGAGTGTGCCCCAGCTCTTTGCAAGGTGAGTGCCCCTACCCTGTCCCCTGCTCATGCTCTGCCTTTCCCTCCTGTGAAGGTGGAGGTGGAGAGAGGGCTGGGGTCGGAGTCTCACTGCTGGCCCACAGCAGAGACCCTCACACACGTGAGTCCACCTGCTGGCCTTCATCTCACCGTTGGGAAGGCAACAGTCGAGCTACCTGTCCCGTAAAATGAGTGGAAACATGGAAAAGCTGCCTAGAATGTGGCTGGAGCACTGTTCTTAGAGTCTTGGCTATTGTTTTCTTTTTTCTTCTCTTTGTTCATTTTTTCATTTTTTCCTTCCTTTCCTTGACTCATTCTCAGTCCTTTCCTTCTATCTCCTCTGCCCTTCACTCTCCCTTTGCTCCTTTGTTTTCCCCTTTCCCTCTCTCCTCTTTCTCTCCAGGTTTCTCCCTCCCTCCCTGCCTCCTGCTCTCTCCCTCCCTTTTCCTGCTGTTCTAGCCCCAGTTCACCCAGCACTCCTGGGTACCACATCCTGTGCTGAGCCTTGGGGCACAGGGATAAGGGAGACTCAGCCTCTGCCCTGGGATGGTGGGGAGACAGCGCTCCAGAATGTGTGCAGTGGGAGCCCAGTGCTACCCGGGGCTCACCAGGGAGCCCTCTGTGTGCCACCCCCTGCCATGCCACCTTCAGGGCAGATGAGGCACTCCTTGGCATCTGTGACTCTTCCTGTCTGCCTGCGGTGGAGGAGCTGCATTTGCTCCGGCAGCCTCAGATGTTTGGGGGCTGGGGGACAGCAACCCACCGAGGACTGTGAGATGCCCCTGACTCTTTTAAAGGCCTTGGGGTTAGAGAGCGCCATCATCCTTTCTCTGGCTTTTAACTTTCAACCCTGTTTAATCTGAGTCGCTTAACTTGGTTTTGATGGGAAGCAGGAGTTGAACATCTCGGATTTCTACCTTCTGCTTCTCTTCTGAGGCAGGGTGTGACTCAGGAACATTTTCAAGTACAATTCTCCGAGCAGCAGGAAGTCCTGGGCACCCTGCAGAGCCAGGATATTGACTGATGAAACACCCTCCAGGATTGGTCCTGGCATCCCCAGCCCAAATGAGATTCATATGCATTTTGGAACAAGTTCCCCAAATAATCCTTTATCACAGCAGTAGAGTCAGAAAGAAAGCAGGGCGTGCAGACATGTGGTTATAATTCCATAAACTTTTGGTTCACCTTACACCTGTCATGAGGCTTCATATCCAGGCAAGCCTACCATGTTTAATATCTAGAAAAAATATCTGGAGCCAAACAGGTTTTAACTACAGTGATGTAATATAACCAAAATGGACTCAGACTGAGATTTGGGGATCTCATCAATGTTTACCAGCCCTTACACATCAGTTGGAGTAATGAGATTGTCCCTGCTGCGGTGTCCAGCAAAGGCCACAAAGTGGAGGGAGTAAAGGTGTGGCCAGAGTCCACAGGCTACAACAACTGTGTGCTTTGGGTATGTTATTTAGTCCCTGTCTGCCTATTTTCTCATCTGCAAAGTGGGCATAAAGATATAAACCACCTCCATGGGTTACCAGAGTTGTGAGGTTTAAATGATCCAGTCCACATAACATAATAATTCGGACAGTGCCTGGCACAAGATAGGCATGAAAATTGCTAGCTGTTTTTATTACTAAGTGAAGTAACAGTAGGGGCTGTTGCAGCCGGAGAGTGACATTCAGTCTGGAGGTGGTTGCTACTCAAGGCCAGCTGATAGCACCATAGAACAGGCTTGCAGAAATACTTTCCAAGAGTAGAGGGGAAAATGCAATGGGGGGGGGGCGGGCGGTGTACACAGCCTCCTGGTTTTAAAATACTAGCAACAAATCCAAATTAGGAAGAAAAATAAACACACTGCTCAAAGAAATTATGTCTGTGGATCCATGGACTGAATGGCCCATTCCCCTCCCCACCCCTTTGTGTTGGAATAACTCACTCTGACTGTATCTGTTGGGGTGTGTAGGGCTGGGTGAATCCCTGTCCTATTAGTGAGAAGTAGCAAAGCTGCAAGGTCACAAGCATGGGCTCTGGAGTTGGACTCCAGAGCTTAAATTCTAGATTTACTTCTTTCTAGCTCTGACTTCAGGTCTCTTGAGCTTTGATCTACATCTCTAAAATGGGAATTATAAAAACTTTCACCCAGAGAGTTCGGAAGAGGCTCCAATGAGATATATGCACATATCAGGGTTATTTGACCAAATTCCCAGCATAGCAGCCATTATATTAGAAATGTCTTAGTGAATATCCGCTGAAAGCCTGCCCCTACATGGAAACTATTGTTCAGCTTGGAACACAGAATCCAGCTGTGATCATTGGGTAAAAGCAACTCAAGCTGATGTCAGTCTATAAGGACTTTTTGGAACAATCTGGGATAACTTACAATATAAATGAAAATGGGAAAATCAGGCCTTGAGGGAAGACCAAGAGTACCCCAGCTTCTGGAATCCAGGTGACAGGAAGGAACTGAAAGACAGTCTCTTCACAGTGTGACTTCCGGAATAAATTGTTCAGCCTAGGATTTAAATCCCCAGGACAGAGCCTGATCGATGATACTGCTTCACGTGCCCACCCCTTGGCTAAGAGCAAAACATCTTGACTGACAGCCCTGTTAAAGCTGGGAAGGTGTCTAAATTAGGATGGGCAGTCAGGGTGGGACAGGTTCTGCTGCAGTAACCAATAAATCTTGAAGTCCTGGTGGCAGCACACAGTGGAGGTTTCTGTTATTCACAGGAGTAACACAGGACTGGGTCAAACTACAGGGCGCCTCTCCTCCAAAAGCTGATTCAGAACTGTGGTGCTCCCTGTTATGACTTTGCCATTGCAGACTTTCCCTCACTTTTGCTACCAAAAGAGGAGAGAGAACAGGAGCATTGCAGGGGATGTTTTCATTGGCCACACCTGAGTGTGGCTTACATGTCTACCCTCACTCCATTGGGTGGAATCCTGACAGATGGTCCAGTCTGAATGCAAGGGAGACAGAAAACAATCTTCCAGGTTCCCAGGAATAGAAAAATGGAATGAGATTTGATGAGCACGGAAGTTGCCTCTGCCCTGGAAAGATTGAACACCCAAGGGAAAATGGCAGTGTTGACACCAAGATGCAGGGGAAGGGATGCTGGGTGCTGGACTAAGATTTCATCTTCTCTCCTTGCACACAGACCTTGCCCACGCATCCTGCCCAGCCCACCTTCTGCAACCATGGCAGCCTATGGCCAGACGCAGTACAGCGCGGGGATCCAGCAGGCCACTCCCTACACAGCTTACCCGCCTCCAGCACAAGCCTATGGGATCCCTTCGTACAGTGAGTACCAGACAAGCCCTTGCTTTCCTCATGGAGTCCCCAACATTATGGTCTTCATCCTGTCCTATTGCTCATTTAAATTCAGAATGATAAATGCAGCCTAGCTAATTTTGGATTGACACAATAAATACGGTTTATTGAGGATTTTACAACGAGGCCTAGAGAAGAGACACAATAAATACAGTTCAAATTCTAGATTATGTCAAAGGCTCTTCTTTGTTTGCAAGAGTTAGGAACCTAAACCAAGCTAGTTTAGGGAAAATATGGATTTAATGATTCACATTCTGGTTTATTTGGGGGTACAGTTAACATCAGCTATGGCTGAACCCAGATACTCAAAGGACATCATCGGGGATGTGTCTCACTCACTTTCCTCTAAGTTGACTTTACTGCCATAGAAGTTGTCCCCATATAACAGCAAAAGTGATGCCTGTAAACTTTGCATCCTTTCATCTCACGGAAAGACAGTTCATCTTTGCCAGTACTTTCAGCAGAATCCCGTATTGGCCCTCTTTGGCCCAACTTGGATCATTTGGCAGTGCTTAGAGCAAGACAAGGAGATGAGGTGAGGGAAATAAGCAGGCTGAAGCAGATGGATTATGTATGTGGGAAGGTGGTTCTCTCAAAAGAAAATCCAGAGATGGTATAGGATGAGAAGGGGAAATGGAAGCTGGAGAGGCAAAAAATACAGACCTCTTAACCTTGACTGTCAGCACATTACTGGTAAGAACTGAAGATGTCATGAACCTGGCTCATCTACTAATCTGCTTCTGCCTCTGGTCTTTATTCATACCATTTATTCCCTCCTCTCTTAATTGATACATTAACCAAAGCTTCTTAGTAGTAAGTGACAAAACCCTGACATTAATCAGTTTAAGGAAACAAGGGAGCTTATTGTCTACATAGCTGAAACATTTTAGAACAGCAGCTTCAGGAAGAGTTGGATCCCCGGCACTTAAGTGATACCAGGAATCGGTTTGTTTCCCACTGTGATAGCAAAGAGAGACCTAGCACTTCTGGGCTGCAGCTCCCCACAACAGGGAATCTTTCCCGTCCAGGACTTCTGCTCTGGCCAAGAATTTCTCTGACTCGGATCCCTGACCCAGATACAACAGCGGAGAATATAGGCTGCTCCAGATGGCCACATTTGGCTGATGCCACCATGCAGCCCGAACAGCTGATCTGAACGTGACGGGGTGGGCCCAGGAGAAGGAAGGGCAGGTGGAACCCCTGCAGTGTGCTAATGGCTCTCCAGTCCAACCGAACCCCAGGTCCAGGGGAGAGAACATAGAGTTGGTGGGCAGCAGGCCTGCCTTCCATGCTCAGCTGCCCTGGCGTCTCTGGGCCTCGTTGTAAAATCCTCAGTTGTAAAATCAATGTTCATCTCCTCTTCTCAGCTGACTGGTGTTGCTTCACCATGGAGATTGAACCTGGTGTTGCTTTTCCTTTTCTTCTGTCCCACCTTTGCCCTGTCATTCATTCCTCGTCCATCCATTCACTCATTCAGCCTTGGGTTATGTGTGTACAGTGTGGTCCGTAAGGAAGATGGGCCCTGTCTCCATGGTGCTTGCAGTCTAGGCCAGAGGCTGAGGACACAGGGTGAGGGGTGATGTGATCTTTGTATTGTTTTAGCCTCTTAAATATACTTGACTTTTTAAAAATTAATTGCCAATTTTTAAATGACAAATGTTTATGTAGCAGTTCACACCTCCATTGTCTTTAAACAGGGGATTGGGCAGCCCACAGTTTGGTGTCAAGAGTGTGTCGCCCTGAGAAGGGCTGTTCCCATGAAGTCTCATTGGCCACAGTCCCACCCAGCCCATGTTACTGCCTTGGACTCTCTGCCTATCTCAGGAACACATTCGAGCGGCAAACCCTGGCCTTGAGGAAGAAAAACATTAATCAAACTTGTGAATTTTTGTATTTCAAACTGTGAAGCATGATATGAAGGAAGACGAGAAGCTCCTGATAGAAAAGAGAATAAGAATGATTTATTTTAGGTTCCAGGGCCAGGGAACCTTTAAATTAGCAGCTAATTCAGCTGCCTGGTGCAGTATCCAGGCAGAAGGCAGCCATGGCTGGAGCATGAGGCAGATGTGTGGGCCAGGTGAGCAGAGCCCCAGAGGCCCCTAAAAGACTAGGGGTGTATTCCAAGTGGGACAGGCACCTTTGGCAAGCTTGTGAGCAGAGGGTGGCCTCTGTGGTTCGGGGAGTACAGATGGCAACACTGTACGGGAGGGGAGCAAGAGGGGAAACAGTAAGACGCATAGGGAAACTGAGGAAGCCTGGAGGGGGTGCCAGAGGCCTGGGCAAGGCTGTGGTGGGGAACAGATAGCAGCAGAAAGAGTCAAGACCCCTTCCGGAGGTGGGAATGACAGGTTCTGTCGGTGCATCAGGTCTGGCATTAACAACAGTCACTGCCGTTGACTTCTTGTCCCTCACTTTGCTTTAAGTCCATTCATTCCTCTAATCCTCACCTCAACTGTACAAGGAAGGTCACAGCATTAGCCTCCCTTGAAGAATAACGAAACAGGCTCAGAGAGGGCGAATAGCTCACCCAAGGTCACCCAGCTGATTGGTGGCAGAGGGGGAATTAAAGCCAGGCAGCCTGGCCCCGGGCTTGAGGAGCCCCCAACCGCTGAGCCCCACTGCCCAGACATGCGTTCCCTAAATCCTGGGGGGGATTACCTGTGACAGACCTGGGCCAACAGGTGTGAGCATCTTGTCTGCTCTCGCTCCCTCCCATGCTGGAAGACTTGTGACAATCACACAAAGTTGCCCCGCCTGGCTGACAGCCAGGAACAATGCGGCCATATTATTTTTCACATAAGTGAGAAAACGAGCCCTGTTCCCAGACAAAACACGGCATCAGATGGAAATTAATTTGGTTCAAAGTTATTTCACTGTCTCGGTTACTTTCAAAGAGTCTCTTTCCAGACAATACAGGGTACATGGTCTGGAGTCCGGGTACTGGAGATGAGGACCTGGGCCAGCGACCTCACCTCCTGGGCCTGAGTTTCCTCACTCATGAAATGCAAGTAATCCTAAATCTGGCTTCCTGTGCTTATGGTGAGGGTTCAATAGAGTCATCTATGTCAGAGATTGTCTGGCCTTTTCTGTAAAAGTTTCCACCTTGGGGGCCATATGGTCTCCATCACAGCTATTCAGCTTTGCCCTTGCATTATGAAACCAGCTAGGCAATATGTTCCAATAAAACTTTATTTATTCAAACAGGCAAGGCGCAGATTTGGCTGTGGCTCCCACCCACAGGAAGTACTCAGCGAACAGCAGCCATGTGGGCAGAAGTGGGCAGCCACACACACCCAGAATGGCCATGTCACTGAATACTGACAGGGGCTGAGAAGCTGCTTCCCTTTGCACATGCCCATGGCCAAGCAAGCAGTGTTTGCTCGTTGTCTGGGCAAACCTTGCTGAATCTTGTCAAGCAGTTTTTTCATTGCTCCTTAGCAAATCGCACTACTTACAGTTGTTTAAATAGCTGCAGAGAAATAACATAATTGAGCAAACTGGAGACAGCAGTGTCAGGAGTATTGGGTATTCTTTTTCTCTATTTATTATACAATATTTAAAACATCTAGAAAAAATAAAGAGTACTACTACAAATTCCCACACCCGAACCATCCAACTTAAAAAAGGGAGGTATATCTGCAAGATACTCTCTGAATTTGAGGTTTATCATTCCCCTGCATTTCACATGAAATAGGAGCCAGCAACTTTGTCTATATAGAACCAGATAGCAAATGTTTCTGTCTTTGTAGACTATCCAGTCTCTCACACACTGGACTCTACTGGTATGGGTGAAAGCAGGCATAGATAGCACATGCATGAGTGGGTGTGTCCTGTTTCAGTAAATCTTTGTTTATAAAAGCAGGCAGCAGATCACATTAGCCTATAGACAATAGTTTGCTGATGCCTGATATAAATATTTTAAACATGCTTTAAACTTTATACATATGCAATGTATCATTTAGTATCCATTCCTTTGCAGTTTGCTTTTTGCACCCAGCCTTATGCCAGTAAAATTTGTAACTACTCATACATGTAGCTGCAGTTCATCCATTCTCACTATTTCACAGTATTCCCTCAGTTGATTGCAGCATAATTCATTTATCCATTCTCTCTCAGATGGTCATTTAGGATCTGGGAGTTTTGTTTGTTTCTCATTTCACAGGATGCTGGAGTCAACACCTTTGTACATTCTCAGGTTGAAAACCTAAGAGTGGAATTTCTGGGTCCTGGAGTACATGCAAACTTCCATTTCCTGGTTAACAGTTTCCTTGTGTCTAGTATGTAACAAGCCCCTGCTTAAAACATAGTAAATTTTTTTTTTTTTTTTTGGTACCGGGGATCGAACTCAGGTCCTTGTGCTTGCGCAGCAGGCGGCGAAACCACTGAACTAAATCCCCGGTCCTAAAACATAGTAATTAAAGGTAGTGTTAAACGTAGTACATTAAAAGCAACAATGATTTCTTCTTTTTCGTAGTGCTGAGTAGCCCTCCTGCAGGTTTCCCCTTCTCTCTCATACAGCTGTGTCCAGCTGGCAGGTCAGCTGAGCCTGGCCCTTGGCAGCAGCATGGACTTCTTAGAGCAAATGGGCCCCACTCTCCAGGAGGGTGAAGGTGGAGCTGCAGAGCTTCCTGTGCCTGCTCTCCGGAGCTTCACCCCCTCAGCCACTTCCACCAGTGCCAGCAAGTCGAAGGCCAGCCCAGCCTCTGGGGCTGTGGGAAGAAATTTGGCGTTGGTGAGAGAAGCTGCAAAATATTGCAGCCATGGTTTTCACCCTCCCACCCTCCCTGTATATGAGTGCTTTTTTATTTTTTTATTTTTTTGGTACTGGGGATTGAACTTGGGACATTGCACTTGCAAGGCAGGCACCAGAACCACTGAGCTAAATCCCCTGCCCTGAGTGCTTTTCTATTTTATTAGCATACATTAATTGGACATATTAATGGAGTTCCATGTGATATTTCAATAGTGATACAGTGTGCACTGAGCAAACCCAGCCACCCTTTATTTGCTATCCCCACTCTAGCGATCACTATTCTACATTCTGGCTGACTGGTTTTGGCTTTCACATGTGAGAGAGAACATGGGGTATTTTTCTTATTTCTCTTAACATCACGTCTCCCAGCTCCAGCTACTTTGCTGCAAATGAGAGGATTTCTTAGGTGGCTGAGTAATTGAGTAATACTCTATATATATATATATATACCACATTTTCTTTACCCAGTCATTTGTTTGTTGATGGGCACCCAGGCTGTTTCTGCACCATAGCTATTTCTGTGCATCTCTGAATTTCTGAGTGAAGCAGAAGTCTGCCAGAACAGAACTCCAATCTGTTGGCATCTAATGGTGGAGGAGGAAATCCATGGACCAGAAGTCAGTACTCCAGGCACATCTGGACTTTCCCCATGTACCTCAGAAGCCTTTCACACCTGCCTGCCGTTCAGGAAAGCTATGCAAAGGCAGGACTTTGCTTCCAAATGGTTCCTGGGGGTGGGGAGCCAGGCCCTCCTCCTTCTTCCCTCTACTCCCCCTTGGCTTGAGTGCTTGAAGTAACCAGCACCTGCGAGGACACAAAGAAAGACAGCAAGACTGAGAAGCAAAGAGCTTGGTAATGAGGTGGGAGGGGAGAGCTGGAGCCGGGGCTGATGTGTCATTTCTTGCTGTTACCTGCACAGTGGTCTCTGGATTGCTGGAGGTGTGTACACAAATTGTCTTTAAAAGAATTTTGTGTTATGCATTTATTTTAATTGCATATGTCTTGGTCATTATTGCTCAAGGCCAGCAAATAATTTTTAGATGGAGTGCTTTTTTCAAAAGTACCTGCAGTGTCTCATGGTCCTAGGACATGGTAAAGCCAGGCAGGTGGGTGCAGCAGTGGGAGAGGGGAAGACTGCTCCATGTAGTCTGCTTATTTTCTGCAGCTCCTCCCACAAGAATGTGAGCTCCAAGCAGTGCTGTAAATCTGTGCCGTTGGCCACTGACAAGAATCTGTGTCTTTGGCCTGTTGCAGGTGGAACATGAATGAATGGATGAATGGATGAATGCCTGATGGGTCACTGTTGTTGGCACTCTCTGAAAGGCACACTGTCACTGACTGCAGTGATCCCATGAGCCAAAGCCAGAGGCACCAAGCATCTGATGGAGGCTCTGTTGTCATTGCATCAGAAATGCTGGGGGAGTGGGAGGTCTGTGACTAGTGCCTCCCCACCCCTCAAATTGCTAGGTTGCCTCTGAACTCAGTTACTAGGACCAGTGCTTCTCATCTGCTATGGAGGACAGATTTTTGGTTTCTGTTTTTTAATTTTCATTCCATCATAGACTGATACTTTAGTAAAATAAAATAAAATGAATTTCAGATGCATACAAAATACAAGTCTAGAGATGGCCATGGATATTACAGCACTATCAAGTTGCTGCAAGACTTTCCAAATGCTTTTGTCTCACTGTCTGTCCTTTCCCATGATGAACTTGTCACTGACTTATAGGACAAAGCCCTTCCTGTCCCCTTTCCACAATCATCTCTATTACCTTTCTCCTACATTAGAATTTTATGGTCCAAACACTGCCGAAAACCAAAGGAGAGGTGAAAAACTTTATTGTCTTTCATATTTATTCATTCACCAGATATTTGGAGGGCTCCTACAACCTGGCAGGGAGCTATATCACAGAGGATAAGACAGATGCAGCCCCTGCCCTCCTGCAGCTCTCAACCTGAGAAGGAAATGGGTGTCGGACAAATGGGCTGTGGCGAGTGGTATGAAGGAGGAGAGCCGAGTGCCATGGAGCCAGCTGGCTTAGGTGGCAGCAGACCTTTCTGGAGCAACTTTAGGCTGAGAAACAGAGGCTATGAAGGCGTTAGCCTGATAATGAAGAGGGAATGTGCATTTCAGGCAGAGGGGATGATATGTGCAAAGGCCCTGAGTCTAAAGATATTCTTCTAGTTTGTCTGTATTTGAAATGAGAAATAAAACATACCCTTGATGCAGCAATTACACTGCTCATACTCAACTGTAACGTTCCCAGGGCGGGTGTGTCGTTCTGTTTTGGGTTGTAGAATCAACCCAGAGCTTATCATCAGGAGACTGGGTGAATATACAATGATATTCCAAACTTTGGATTTCCTTCCAGCCACTAAAACTAATGAGAGTCTAAGCACATGGCATGAAGGAAAGGAGATCAGGGGAGCGCAGAGAAAACTGAGTAAGGTTGGAAAGCTGGGCAGTGCCCCGTAGGGCCTTGGATGGAATCACAAGAGTTCACATTTACTGCAGGTGCACAGGAAACACTGTACCAGGTGCATCATTGACCATTCCCAGAGCACTGAGAAAAGAAGGTGTCATATAAATACTGCCTGTGACTGTTGTCATTACTGTTACTGGAGTCTTGCACCCTCTCACATCCACTATTGGGAAGCACCATGATTAGGACTTTTGACTTTACATCTGTATGCCAGTTGCAAGAACCCAGTCCAGTGAACTGGCTTTCTGAACCTCAGGTTCTACACCTTTAATAAGAAGAAAATAACATTGCCTGTGCTGTGGATTTGCCACAAGGATGAAAAGGATGTGTGTGTGTGTGTTCAAGTGCCTTGTCCAGAGCTGTATCTGTTTATCCTTTTCTCTCCTTTAATTTCTCAATTACCCTGTATGTTGTAAGGAAGCAGACGTCCAAGCAGCGCTTGCAGGAGAAACTCTCCAGGTCACCAAGGAGTCCAGCAAAGCATTCAGGACTCCAGCCCAGATGTCCTGTCTCAAAATCCATCTTGTGTTTTATGGGGGTGATTGGATGAGAAGGGAAACCTCATTATCCCCAGAACTAGAAAATATTCTGTAAAAAAATAAAATTTAAACAGCTAGGCATGGTAGCACATGCCTGTTATCCTAGTTACTTGGAAGCTGATGCAAAAGGATCACAAGTTCAAGATCAGCCTGGGAAACTTAGTGATACCCTGTCTCAAAATAGAAAAAAAAGAAGGAAAGACTGGAGCTGTACCTCAGCACTCCCTGGGTTTAATCTCCAATACTGCAAAAAGAAAAAAAATTAAGCAGCAGCAAGATACCATTTTATACTTAGGAGACAAAGAAATCAATGATTTGATACAGGCTGTGGGGAAGCAGGCACATACTAAGTGAAACACCATTTAGCAACAATTATGAAAATTTAAGATTCTCTTGCTCCTAGACTTAGCAATTGCATCCAACTATTGGAAATTTACCTGGAAAATATACTTGTCCATGAACACAATTTTTTTTTTTTGGTACTGAGGATCTTTTGGTATCCGGACCTTTTGCTTGTGAGGCAGGCAGAGGCACCACTGAGCTAAATCCCTGGCCTCATGAACACAAAAATGTGAATGTAATGACTACAAACTAAGGTGCAGCAACTAGGCATTATGTACAGATGTATACACATAGATATATCTGTATCTCTGTATATGCATATATAGTCATATATATGAAATACCGTCCAGCTATAAATACAAAATAAGAAAGAACTTCAGATCTGATGAAGAATGATCATTATTACATATTGTGAAGAAATAAAAGTAAAAAGAGGAAGCTGCAGAACAGTATAGATTAGCCCCATTTATTTTTTAACAGAAGGAATATATATGTAAACATACACATTCAGCATACATAAGCCTGTATGCATAGAACCTTTGTGCAGGTGAACACAAGAAGCTGGTAATAGTGGTTGCCTATGGAAGGGAAAGTTGGGTTTGGGATCAGAGGTGGATAAATACACTTTTCTTTATATCTTTGTGCTGTTTGAATTTGCTACCATGTAAAAAATGATACATCAGACTCTCTCCCTCAATACACTCCTAGCCAGTTGCTCGTGGAATTTTGTACCTGTGCATTGCATAAGCACAGCAGAGTTGGACTGCGCAGAAGGCAGTTTTATGACTATGGATATAAGTAAGGTCTTGGATAACCAGCACCCTCTGGCCATGAGATGAGCAAACAATGCAACTTACCGTTACACGGTGTTATCTTTGCAGAAGAAAGATGGTTAATTTAACACCTTCACTCTGAACCCAGTGGACATTATTCAAGCCACTCAGTGGACCAAGGAGCTACAAACTCCTGCACCCACAGAGCCAGGCAGGTAGTGTGATGCTTCCTGCCTGCACAGAGCAAAGTCCCCTCAGCCTGTCTTCCCCTTCCCACTTTTCATAGTGTCCTAGAATGTTAACATTTTTTAATTTAAATTTTTCCAAAATGTACCACAGTAAAGAAGATAGCATAGCAACCCCAGATTCAATGTTCCAGAGACAGTATGGAAGCCATGAGTGACACAGGAAACATACAAACTGGGGAACCTGAAGGGCAGCCTATGGTCACAGGGGCACACAAATCTGGTGTTTCTGGACCATCCTGTTGTCACGAGAAGCCATAAGTCCATAACTTTTAGAGAAATCTTATGACTTTTAAACAAAAGCAACTAACTCAGATTTTCCTTTTTAAAAGATACAGGGCAAGCAAAATATATCTGTAGACAACTTCGGCTCTCAAGCACCTCCTGGTTTGGAAGCTGCGAACATCATGTATTGTTGTGACTCAGTAGCTCTTCAGGGAGTGACAGGGAAGCATCCTAATCATGTTTCATTGGTGCTTCTTTCTCCTCTTTCCAAGGCATCAAGACAGAAGACAGCTTGAACCATTCCCCCAGCCAGAGCGGGTTCCTCAGCTATGGCTCGAGCTTCAGCACCGCGCCCACTGGACAGAGCCCATACACCTACCAGATGCACGGTCAGTTTGGCACCTGGCTCCAAGGCACCTCCTGAATTGGATGTCCATTCATTAATTCCCTGGCTTAGCAGATTTCCTGAGCACCTACTATGTGCCAGGCTCTATTTCAAGCAGTGGAGTTACAATGGTAGATAAAATAGATAAATGACCTGCCCTCATGGCAGTCCCATGGCAACAGGGAAAGACTGATGATAAACAAGTCAATAGATGAACAGGGTAATTTCAGAAAGGGATGAGTCTAACAAAGCAGTTCCCATGGCATTTGGATTGAGAGGAATGAGCTGTTCAGACCTGAGATGTGTGACTTCAGATTGAGAAGGCTCTTTGAAGAGGTGACATTGGACAGAGACCCAAAGAGTGAGGTGGAGCCAGCCAGGCTCAGCCCTGGGGCAGAACATGACAGGCAGGGGGGCCAACAGTGCAGAGGCTGCGTGGTGGGACAGGTCTCAATGTACCTGTGAGAGGCACAGAGGAGGGGCCCTGGAGAGGGCCGAGGGAGGGAGTCAGTTTATATTTTAAGTGCAATGGCACTGAAGAAATGCAGAGGAGTGCTGGGTGGCAGGTAAAGAGCTTCCTGAGAAGAAAGGATTCCAGCACACATGTGCTAAGGAAGCGGCTTGCTGTGCTTGCCTGCGCCTGCTTTTATCATCCAGGGACCCCTTCTCTGCTCCTAAGTGCCTCGGAAGCCTTTGGAGTCGATGCAAGGATCCGGGGGCTGGTGGCAGTAGCTTGAGTGTTTTCCTCTCCATGCAAGTTGGGGGGAATGGCCATCAAGGGTCTGAGAAGTACAATGCAGGAATGAAAGGGTAATAACGAGGTGGTGGCTCTTAAGTGACTGCACTTTTCATGGAAGAAACTCATGGACAGTATTGTCACTCATTCTTACTTTAATTTTTTATTAAGGACACCAAGTGACCTTAGGGGTGTGGAAAGGAAGGGATGATGAGCGCTCACACCAGCTCTTGGGAAAATGTCCTCGAAAAAGTCCACATTAGAGTTTCCCAGTGACATCGTGGCTAACATCCTAATGCTCACTAGTGCTAGATCCTGTTGCTCGGGTTCTCTTGTACAATCCGTGTGTTGGTGCTGTTGTTATTCCTGTTTTACAGAAGAGGAAACTGAGGCAGGGGCAAAATGACTGGCTTGCCCCGTGTCAGGACAAGGAGTTTAGATTTTGTCCTAAGTGCAGTGGGAAATGGCCCACGTCAGGCCTCTCAGGAGTGTGGTGGGATCCTGAACCCCCGCCTCACCCCAAAGCCTTGATACACTTGACTGTGATATCTCCTGGCTCCTCTGCCTCTTCTGTCACCTCAGTGTCCCTGCCAGTGGTTTTCTGAGTCCCACTGGAGGGGAAAAGCTGCACCAATGCATCTTTGAGGAGGGAGTAAACAGCAGTGCCAGTCCCAACCGCAGACTTGTGAGGACATGGACTGGAACTCCCTTTGCGTCAGTCTCAAGCCAGCTTCTTTCTGCTCTTCCAATAGAAACTTCACGCACTGCCTCAGGGTCAAGGCTGCAGAGGTGGAACAGCAAGTGCACCCTGCCCCATCCGGGCGCACCTGCCGGTGTGCATTAATGCCTGGGTTGCAGGGTGCCTCCTTTCCTTCAACCCCTCATTCATTCTGTATTACTGAGTGCCAGCTTTGTGCCTGGACCCTTTGGGGCACCAGGGACACAGCAGTCAGCAGAGGCAATTCCCTCAAGGAGAGAGGAACAGTAATCCATTAACAAACAATGACAAATTTTGAAAAAGCCTGTGAGGGTCAAAGCCAAAGTGTCCTGAGGATCAGAGGATCAGAGCAGGAGTGGGATTAGCATTACTCAGGTAGGGAGGGACCTGAGTAGTGAAGAGGAGGCAGCCAAGTGAGGAGCTGGAGACTGCAGTCCAGGAGACAGAACCGAAAGAGCAAAGGTCCTGGGGTAGGAACAGGACCAAAAAGAAGACTCTCAAATCTGGAGTGCAGTGAGTGAGGGGAGATGAGGTTGGAAAGTGAAGCAGGAACCATCCTTGGACCAGGATGTGCGTGGTGATGTGATTTCTTCTCCAGTCCTTACAGCAACCACGTGAGGTGAGCACCATCCACCCTGCTTTCCAGCTAATGAAAGTGAGGCTCAGAGAGCATCAGGGCTGGGATTCAGACTCCAGTTTCCAGAAGCCCAGGACCTGTGTTGCCTCCTCTGAGTGCTGACATTTACTGGGTCCTTCAGGACTCTGGGTGCTGTCCTAAGCAGAAACTGTGCCCTCAATCCCTACAGGAGCACTGTGCCAGGTTCTGTTGTCACCAGTGTCTCACAGGGAGAGGAACTGTCCCAGGTCACAGGGCCACAGCAGTGGCATGGGACTAAAGCCAGGCAGTGTCCCTCTGGAGCCCTGGTTCACTGCCCTCACACGGTCCTGCCCCTCCACACTCCTGCAGACCCATCTAGAAGGTGATTCTCAGGGGTGACCCTGACCCAGGACCCCACCTCCACCCCAACCCCGCCAGCCTCTCACAAATCCAAACCCCTCTCGCGCTCTGTTCCCACGTCATTTCCTTACTGTCCTCAAGACCCCGGGCCAGAAGGCTCCGCAGCAGCTGGGCTTCGTCCCATTAACTGCCTGATGTTAATGGCCGTGAACTGCTCTTGAGACAGGCCAGGCATTTTGTGAGCCTGCCGCACTCCTCCTTTTCAAACACAAACACAGGCGCTCACACACCACGTCCATGTGCTTCCTATTAGCTTTTTTTTCCCCTCTGAGTTGTTCCAGAGGAGAAATAAACTCTTGAACCACTCAGAGCGTTTTGGAGGGAAGATGTTGGCGGGATTTGGCTTTGCAGAGAAGGAAGGGAAGGAGGAGAGACTAACGTGGGCTGAGACAGGCTGAAGTTGCAGGCTTCCTGGTCCCTCATGAGAGGCTGGGATGAATCCTTTTCCTTTCTAATAATTAAAATCATAATCTCATACGTTCAAAAAGAGCCCAAGTAGAACCCACCCCACCATCTTACAAATGGGTCAATTGAGGTACTGACACAGAGTGCAAGCCCTTCCAGAAACTCCTGCGGAGCCATTGCCCTCTGAGGCCCTGGTTTAAGATCTGCATCCACTTGGATAACTCTGCCCCTCCACCCAACATACAAAAAACATAAAAGGCAAAACCCACAGGACTCATTCAGCCTTTCTGTGATTATTTCTTTTGCTCTTTTTTTTTAAAGTTCACACCAAGGTTTTTATAGCTAAAATGAGTTTCTTATGGATTTGATTTCTTTTGTTTGTTTCTTTTTGGCTTCCCTTGATAAAACGCTGCTATTTGCAGAAATCACCACAAGATTAGAAAGAACAAACATCTCAAGAGAGTGTAATCAGACCACTGGTACCAGAGGCGCTGAAGAGCCCTGGACCTGGGCTGTGTCCCCCACACCCAGTGGCTGACAAGGGGACAGGTCCACACACTGGAAACTCCTCGGTTTCCTCACTGTGACGCCAGCCTTACAGCAAGAGAGATGACTTCCTGGGGCTGTTAGGGGCACTAAATGGAGTGATTTGTTCACATCTTTTGAGGGCTTTAGAGGCTGAGCTTTCTCTCCATTATTTCTACTATTTCTACAACATGGTGGTTCAAAGTCATGAAAAGCAGGAACTCAGAAGTCAGGCTGAGTTAACATCCCATTTCTGCTGTGTGACCTTGAAGTTTCACATCAGTACCTCCATTTCATCTCCTGTAAAACAGGGATGCTAATAGTGCCAACCTCATGGGGTGCTATGATAATTAAACACATCGATGTATGTGAAGTATTTAAAGCAGCTCATGGCACAAGACAAGTGCTCTACAAATGCTCTCATCCTAAGCGCAGCTGTGATGGGCCATGTTCTTTCCAAGCTCGCTTCTGTTCCCTGAGCAGTCAGTTTCAGTAAGTGGTCACAGTCGGAGGAGAAGGAATACTAATTAGAGAGGGCTGATTCATCTGCATCAGCATCGACCCCTCTCTGGCATCCTCTGTGCTGGAGGGGAACTTTAGAATGGTAGGAGTCATCTGCAGAAGAAATTCCAAAGACCAAAGAGCGTTAATACCGAAGCTCAGAACCCACCACCAAACATTCAGGAGCAGCATGGACCATGGGACTCGAGGATGTGTAAAAAAACTGAAAGTTCATAGAAGGTTTGTAGCCAGGGACCTCAGCCCAGTATCTCCAAGACTGGTTGCTGTTGGATTCATTTTTTAAATCTCCATATAGAGATTTAAATCGAGCACCATCTCTGGCACCAATAAGCTGTGTGACATTGGACAAGTCTCTAAACTCTCCTGACCTGTATCCACGGCTCTCATGCTAACGAGTGCTCCAGGAACATGGGAACACAGAAAGGGGCTGAGGAAGCTTGTGGTCAAATACCTTTGGAAATGGTGGGAGCCTCAAGGCTACGTGAGAACCCTTCAGGGCATCTGAAGGATGGTGGAGGTGTAACTCCCCAAGGGTGGGGTTCAGTGCGCCTTCCTCCCAGGGAGATCTGATGAGGAACCCCCTCTCCAGACTCTGGATCTGTGCTCCCCAAGAAGTCCTGGGTTAGATGATGTTTTAGTTCCCTTTCTGTGTTAAAATACCAAAATTCTTTGATCCCCTACTTGTTGTTTTTACAAAGAACATATATTCTTTTTTATTTGTTTCAATTAATTTATTTTTTACCAAGATATAATTTGCATGCCATAAACTTGACCCTTTTGAAGTATTCAATTCAGTGGTTTTCAATGTATGCATTAAACCATCCAACCATTACTTCTAACTCCCGAACATTCTCGTCACCCCAAAAGAAACTCCATACTTATTAGCAATCACTCCCTGTTCCGATCCCTCCCATACATTCCTTTGATCATACAAGAAAAGACCCATTAAAAGTTATTTCTCACCAGGGATTTAGCTCAGTGGTTCTGCCGCCTGCCTTGCAAATGCAAGGTCCCAAGTTCGATCCCTGGTACCAAAAAAAAAAAAAGTTATTTCTGTTTCACATTAATCTTGGGAGCAGG